CTTGACAGAAGCTGGTGGTTTCAGAGAGCTGATCCACAGCCGGCACAGACAAGACTTCCTGACGCTAAGGAAGATTAGATTTTTGGACCAAAGTAGGGGCACAATCGGAATTTTCCTGAGGAGGGGGCCCAGGTAATCTGCCAAGTAGCAGAGATCACTACCAAAAATGTATGGGGATAAAAGTCTGCATTTGTACATGTTACATGGAGCACATGACTTGTGAGGAGAGGCTGAGGAAACTGGGATTGTTCAGTCTGCAGAAGAGAAGAATGAGGGGGGATTTGATAGCTGCTTTCAGCTACCTGAAGGGGGGTTCCAAAGAGGATGGATCTAGACTGTTCTCAGTGGCACCAGGTGACAGAACAAGGAGTAATGGTCTCAAGTTGCAGTGGGGGAGGTTTAGGTTGGATATTAGGAAAAACTTTTTCACTAGGAGGGTGGTGAAGCACTGGAATGGGTTACCTAGGGAGGTGGTGGAATCTCCTTTGTTAGAGGTTTTTAAGGTCAGGCTTGACAAAGCCCTGGCTGGGATGATTTAGTTGGGAATTGGTCCTGCTTTGAGCAGGCGGTTGGACTAGATGACCTTGTGAGGTCCCTTCCAACCCTGATATTCTATGATTCTACACAAAGTATTAAAGCCCATGTGTTCCAGGATTGCACCACATTGACCTGTGGGACTCACTAATCAATATACAACATACAACCAAGAGCTGCACACCTCTGTGAATTCAATGCTCCCAATTTCCTTTTCAGCAGCATCCCATTTTGAGCATGCATTGGGTTCCAGGAGGCACCCACATATGTATGTTGTTTCCCCCTTTGCATTGCTGCACAGCACATATATGTCCTTGCCAAGCCACCACCTCTTCTTCTGGAGCATGCCTGGAAGCAGAAGAGATTGAGGAGGTAGCTTGAAGAGAGGGCAGCCCAGTGTTCTGGAAAATAGGGAGCTAGTGTTGGGAGCTGGAGCCACAGGGAAAGCTGCTGCCCTCTCTCCAGGCCATGCTGTTTGCTGACAGCTTCAATCACTACTTCCTCCTCATCTCCCAGGACTGGTCCCAGGTGAGAGAGACCAGCCAAGACCTCTCCGTCTCCTTCCGTAGTGACCTATCATTAAGGCTAAGATTTTGTCACAGATATTTTTAATAAAAATCACTGACAAGTCACGGACAATAATGAAAAATTCACGGAAGCGCGTGACCTGTCCCTGATTTTTACTAAAAATATCCATGACAAAATGGGGAGCCTGGATAGCGGTGGGCAGGCTTGAAGCTCCAGGGACCCCCTCCGCTGGTGGGTCAGAACTGTGGGGCTTCCCCTTGCTGCCTGTGGTTGCCGGGAGCAGGGCCGGCTCTAGCTTTTTTGCTGCCCCAAGCAGCAAAAAAAAGCGCCGCCCCCCGAGCCCCCCCGCCGAGTGCTGCGCCGCCCCCCGCC